AGTTTTCTTCTGAGGAAAAGCTCTTGCAATATTACAGCCACAGGGTGTATTTGAAGTCAGCTTTCTTCCAGAACAGTGAACCTGCTCTCTTCAGAGCCGTTGCCTATCACAGCACTCCTTATCGGCAAAAAGAGGTTCTGGAGCAGTGGTTCTCAACCTTTCTAATGCCGCGACCCCATAATACAGTTCCCCATGTTGTGGTGACCCCCAACCACTTATACATCAATGGGTACCAGGGGCGTGGCCAAAGAAAAGGGGAAAAAAATGGTGGACAGCCTTGTTTGGCAACCCCTGTGAAATGGTTGTTCGATCCCAAATGGGGTCCCAACCCACAGGTTGAGAACCACTGTTCTGGAGTCTTCCTCTTTTCTCCATCTCCTCCCCCCCCAAACCAATTTGAATGCAATGAACACTGCCAGGCTCTGCAAAGGGTGGGGGAGTGGGTGGAGGGGGAAAAACAGGAAAGAAAATCCTCTGTAGGTTTTTTTTTTTTTTTGCTTGGGTACAAGCCCCTATTTTTATAAAAGAAGAACGAAGAACATTAGTCCATACAGGCAAGCTGGATAGTGTGAAGTTCTCTGGGATAAAACGCTTTATCAGCAAACTGATGGATGCATGTGAACCACTTTTGCAGGGGCAAGACTAAGAAATACATGGAAGGCAACTCACATGTAAAGAGCACCGTGCCACAAGGAAGAGGGAGTCAAGCTATTCTCCAAAGCACCTGGAGGCAGGACAAGAAGCAATGGATGGAAACTAACCAAAGAGAGAAGCAACCTAGAACTAAGGAGAAACTTCCTGACAGTTAGAACAATTAATCAGTGGAACAACCTGCTTCCAGAAGTTGTGAATGCTCCAACACTGGAAGTTTTTCAGAAGAGATGGGACAGCCATTTGTCTGAAATGGTATAGGGTTTCCTGCCTGAGCAGGGAGTTGGACTAGATGACCTCCAAGGTCCCTTCCAACTTGATGATGATGATGATGTCTGTAAGGCTTTCAAGACACATAGGTGCACTGAGAAGGTTAAGGCAGGGTTGTAGCCTATGGATGTCAATTATCACAAAGCGCAATCTACATATGGGTTTATGAGAAAATGAAATTGGGCACAAATAAAACCAGTCCAATGAAATAACGTCCAAATAAAATTGGTTCCCCTCCCCTTAATGTGCATTTTGCTGGTGGGAATGGAAAATACCAAGTGAAGGCTGGTGGTGTATTAGCAGCCAGCACAATTACTGTTTAATGTGACTTTGGCCCTGCACATATTGTGGTAGCACACGTAGAACACTCCATAGAATTATTTCTGAGGAATCAAATTGGGAGAATTAACTCTCACACAGTCAGTGAGAAACAATATGACAGCAAATCTGACCACTGCATAGATCAAGGAGAGATGGAAACAAGCCAGCCTGCTCAAAAGAGGGAGCCAGGCAGTCTGTTGCATGAGGCAGGGAAGAAAGAAACACAAGGTGTCTGAACACTCTTTCAGTATACGGACTTGTTCTTGAATCCCAACTGTTGCTATCGTTCTTTAGTTGTGGCTTCCTAACCTTCTTCAGTGAGACTTTGGTTATCCAAACTCTTGCAAACTACTCAAGTGGTTCCAATCCAATCCGTTGGATGAAACCTGCCACAAATCAGATACATCCATGTAATATTTTAGTTGCTGTTTCTCTTATGTATTATAATGTGCTGCAATTAAAGGCACCTTTGTACTGGCAAAGGTGTCACTTTAAAGCCAAATCACATGAGTTTTTTTTAAAAAGCAGATTAAAAATTAACAAAGAAGGATCCAGTCAAGATAAGGACTTCAGCTGTAGGTGGTGTGTGTGTGTGTGTGTGTGTGTGTGTGTGTGTGTGTCCTTTTTATCCAGTCCAGCCTTCCTCAACTTGGGCTTCCTCCAGAATTCGCCAGCTAACACAACCAATAGTTTCCCTTGTAGCTTAAATGAGACTTGGAGAAGACAGCATCAACTCTGATAGAACCAAAAGATTAAATTATATGACTAGGTGCCATGATGCAAAACCTAACTTATTATTTTAAAATAAATATACTTAACACCATATGTATTGTTAGCCTTCCCTCCGCCCCCACAGATTTATAGCCAAGTTCAGAAATGACAATTTTATACATGTATACTAAAAACTCTCATTTTAATTTTGCTAAAATCAACGTGGGTTCTTCAAACACTTCCATTCTGTCACTGTTTCCATTCTTCAAATGCTTAGAAGGTCATCCATTCCTATTTTCTTCCCTTGAAAGGGTTAGGAGGAGATGGAGCAACCCCTGTGCTGTCTTTCCCTGCCTTAAATTGCTCTTGGTCCATCAGCAAGAGAGAGATCCCTTCACTTCCACTCCATATAAAGACAAAAGATGGGGACAAGCAGCTCGTCTGCCATTTGCAGATTAATTCCTTTGATGCAGAAGAGGAAAGGGAAATTGGCAAAGGTCTTTTCAATTTCACTCTTGATCCTTTTGTGTGAATTTCTGAGGGAGAATTGCCAAGCTAGGCTTAAGCTCAGGAGCCAGGAGCAAGAATGAGTAAGATCTTCCATCAGTGGGCAATGGAGCCACTGCTTCCTAAACCAAAAATGATATTACAGCGGCAATTTTAATTACTCAGCCAGAAATAAATCAGGACAGCTCTCAGGCACTGTTGATGTCATGGGAACACAGAGCTCCGGAGCTGTTCTCAAATGGGCCCAGGCTCTTTATGGGATGTGTCCAAAGATGCAACTTTGGAACATTAAAAATAGGGAAATTCTCTCTGCTGACTATCAACTGAAATGTACTGGGCCATAATGATCATGTTTTATGTTCAAAAATGCATCAGCTATGAAATACAGGAATAATGAGAGGTGAAGTCATAACTACTTAAAGGGAAAGTTGTTTGAGAAAAAATAGTTTCTTTATTCATTCAACATATTTAAAGAACATTTCTATTTGCCACCTTACCAATGTTTCTTTTTTTAAATTGTCTGAATGGTTAATCATCACCACAATGTAACCAGTTTAGGAGAAACACAATATTTTAAGGAAGAGGGAGAGAGGGAGAGAGAAAGAGAGAGAGGGGGGAGGGGAGGGGGAGGGAAGGAGGGAGGGGGAGGGAGAGGGAGAAAGAAATCTAAATAATCAAGCTTGACTTAAGTTGAAGCATTAGCCATTTCTTCTTTTGTGAATATAACTGCATTCTTTGGTAATACCTTACTGCTTAACTTGCAGTGCAGTTTATGACTGCATTTTCCTTACAAAACGCACTTAACCTTTCCATGCCAGTGTACCATCCCAATTTGCACACTCCAATCAGTTATTCAGAAACAAATTACTGCCTTCTGATCTTATACTTGATTCAGGCTAAGTTAGAAAAATATATAGCTTACAAGATAAATTGACATTATACTACATGACAGGACTTTATGTGCTGCATAAATATCTTGCATTTTTGCTTCTCTCAGATTAGAAAAACTAGCAGAGCAGTGAAATTCCTGGCAGACAACAACCCACAGCTTGTTGACTGTGGATTGACTTGATGACTCATAAATCGTGCAGTTTAAGGTCCATTCAAGATTTGTACTGACACTTCATGTTGTCAGTCAACATGTTGATTTAGAACACTGCTGATTTCAATGGGCTTTCAATCAATGACTCCAGTGTAAACTGTTGTGGTTCTACTTGCCACTTATTCTTTTTAAGGTAACTCTAATCTCCACTCTTGGATATTTTTTCTTCAGAACTGGAGATTATTCAAGGGTTGCGTTACTAAATATTAATATCTTAACATTAAAAGCTGATTCATCCAACTATTCCAGGGTGGTGGTGGTGGTGAGGAGTAATGGTGATTACAAATATTGTTTTGCCAACAATATTGATGATTCTTGAGAAAACAGGATGACAGTCCACTGTACCATTTCAGAAAAGCTACAGAGCAAGCCTTTTCTCAGGCATAACTTGACCACATGGAGGTGCTTTCATAAGGTTATTTCACCACATCAAATACATTCAATCAGTCCTCAGTGAGTCAACATGAAATGGGATTCCACATTATTGAAGTCAGACAAACCTCTGCCACACCACATTCAAGACACTAAAGTGATGATATGGATTAAATAGAGTGGGGAAAAGTCCACCAGAAGTTAAACAAATGCAAATACTAACTGAATCTTCCTTCCTTCCTTCCTTCCTTCCTTCCTTCCTTCCTTCCTTCCTTCCTTCCTGCCTGCCTGCCTGCCTTCCTTCCTTCCTTCCTTCCTTCCTTCCTTCCTTCCTTCCTTCCTTCCTTCCTTCCTTCTAGAATTATTCTTACAAACAATGTTTGCAAAAAATGCTTTTTTTCTCAATCAACAAAGAATTTTAGTTTTCACAACAAAAACTTCTCAGGTTTCCTATCATTTCTATCTTTTTATTACCTTGAAAAGCCAATTGCAAAACAGCTACACAGGTCTTCACACATTTTTTTGATTGCAGAGATGCATAACTAAAAATCATGGGGCCATATTTGTACTCCAAAGAATTCTAAAAGTTATTACCAGATTATAAAGTTTAATTTTATTTTTTTATTTAAATTTAGGCTTAAATGCAAATGAAATAAAATGAGATTGCCTCATGTTTTTTTTTCCTGGATCCAACTACTATTTTTTGGAGCATGCCAGCTCCTGCCAGGTCACTCAATAGCCATATGCATCTCTTGGCTCAGAAAAAGCTGTGTGCCCTACTTTAACAATCTAAATTCTACAATTTGTTTTTTCCTTATTATTTCAGAATGGCAGCAGAGGGCTGAGTTAATGAAGGTATTCCAATTCTCAATGCAATGATACTGATCAAAAAAAGTAGGAGAGCAAGAGAGAGAACCAATATCTCACTCAATATAAACTCAGAGATATAAACATGGTATCTGGGAAACATGCTAACATTCAGCTACTGTGAAGGATGATGGGTATTAATACATGTCTAGTGTTACTTTTTAAAAATGTTCTTCAGTTGAAGACCTTAAATACTTACCATCCCACAGAAGGTGTTATCTGTCCAACCCCACTGGGAGGGAGGGAATAAAAACCAGAAATATCTGATGTTTGAGAAGGACGGTGTACACCTATCAGAAAATGAAAACATGAGGAATTTTGGTTAGCTTTATGTCTATTTTTATATCAAAATGGATCCAAAAGATTCATGTTTGCTAACATCCAATAGCCAGTTAATTCATCTACTTACCCTCACCTTGTTCTTCCTACTATTTATTGCTAAGTTAAATATTCTTGGCCTTTCTTATCTGCAATATTCTTTTTGAAGCTTGCAAGCAAGTAGTCTAGAGGATGTGCACCATAGAGGAAATGAGTGAGACAAAAGTTCCAGAGTAAATATCTATAGATATTCACAATCATCCATATGATAGTTGTGACAAAGGTGGATTTTTCTCCAAAAGGTAATTGGACTTCAGTTCTGAAGAAGCTTTTTGGATGAGAAGGGAAAAGTTTTCAAAGAAAAAACCCCAAGAGAGTCCAATTGCCTTCTGGAAAAAGGCACCTTTGGGATATCCAGAGTAAGAGTAAGAGAGAATTAATAGAACATAGTCAAGGTAGAGCTAGGAAAGGAAGCAGTGTGGGAGATGAATGGAACATTCAATTTATCTAGAGAAGATAAAGTTGGTGTTATGCATAGTTGGGCAGAAGACAATAAATTTAATGGTATATAGGGAGGAACTTGAACAACACAAAATTAACTTCCTTTCTGCCCTGAATTATATTGCTAAAATGAAGAAAGCATGTAAGAAACCTGCTTGGATTTTTGTGGGAAAAGATGATGAGCTTTACTTGGCGCCACTATTCAACAAATTAAGTTTGACTCAGAGTTTTTAAATTCTACCTGTTTGTCTATCAATTCATGCTTTAACCCATTTATCCATTAATTAAATAAAAAAGCATTCCTACTTCTTAGCTTGATATTCGCTATATAGAGATGAAGTACTGTACTGAGAAGGCATATTTCATTGGGTTATTGTGAAATACAGAGAACATATATGAAGTGTTTTAGAATGAAATGTGTTCTGCTTCAGATGACCAGTCCTTCAAAGAAACATTCAAGTGTGATATTGGGAGATTTCAATTATACTGACATCTACTGCAAATCTACAAAGATTAGAAGGCCAAATAAGCTCTCCCCCCTTTTCTTGCTGGATTTATTTCTCAGAAGGTGGAAGAAAGAACATGAACAATTCAGGTTTGCTATCGTGGATTGAACCCTTATCAACGGGGATGGATTGGCTGAAGAAGTGAAAGAGATGATTATTTGAAGAGAACTGAATGAGTTATCATGATGTCCAAAAGAGAAGATCTGAAGTGATAAGTATACTTGAGTTCAGGAGAATGGATATTGATTACTCCAAGGAAAGAGAGATCAGGACAATAGCTTGAAATCTTGACAGAAAATTGTCAAGGAGGGAGAGAAAATGCCACAAAATGAGATACTGAAAACCTGATTATATTCTTATCACAATGCAAAATGGGAGAAATTTAAGCCAGGATGAATACGCACAGAGCTGTCTAAAATACTGCAGAGAAAAAGCAATAGGAAACAAAAGAGAGACCTATTACTAAAGAAAAAAAAATCAAGGTTGGCTTCAGAAACTTTAGGAATTGTGTCAGGAAGATAAAGCTCAGAATACGCTGAGGCTTGGGAGAGAAACCAGCCCCAAAAATCTTTGGTCATGTCTGAAACAAAGCAAAGTGAAAGAGAGGTGAATAGACTAGGAGGAAAAATGGAGAGCTGCTAAGTGAACAAAATAGAGCCCTAGTTGATCATCATTATATCTCTTGGGCAAGAAAAGATCTGCAACTTAGGACAGAAAAGAAGATTCTCCGTTGATACAAGGTGTTCTCTGGATGGGCAGGCACTACCTGTTTGTGTTTTGGGGATTTTTCTGAACCTACAGCTCCTTCTAGAAGAGTACATGGAGGCCATGGCTACTGGGGCCTTTGCCCAGCTGTCACAGGAGCACCAGTTGTGATCCTTACTGGTGCCAGAGAACCTGGCAATTGTAATTCATGTCCTTATCCCTGGCCAGATTACTATATTACCTTTTTGTAAAACTGCCCTTAAAGATGATATGTAAAGTGCGATTGGCACAGAATGCAGTGACCTGTTTATTTGATGGGCCCCGATGTTGGGGGCATATAACATTGATCTTGTGAGCCCTGCACTGGTTGCCAAAGATTTTAAGGTTGATTTGAGACAAAGAGTCACATTGGGCTTATGTAACTATGGTAGCTATGCTCCTAAACTTCAGTAAGAGTAGTTAACAGAAGCGCTTCGCATTCTCAGAGTAAGCTTGTTTGTTTTTATTTTAAGAAACAGTCTTTTAGGAGCACTCACAGAGAATTTCAAAATCCCTGGTTGACTTTCTCAATATGTCAAGTTATAAGTTGCTTTGCTTTTTATTCCTTAAAGAGCCAAGCTAGATTTGAACTATCTCACTCACCACTTCCTGACAGATTTGGATGTTTGCTCTTTGTGGAGCATCTGGTAACTTATGAATTGGTAATTATATTTTTCCCTCTTGTCTTTATGAAAAGCAGGTGAGCATTTCCAAGAGGTTAGATATGCTAAGAGTATTTTCAATGTGTGGAGAAGAGAATGAAACATCTTGGGAGATCAACTCAATATCTTTCACCAATGGTGAAAAAAGTAAGGTTCCAATGGTGGAAAAAGGTAAGGTTCTACATCTAGGCAAGAAAAACCAAATGTACAACTATAGTATAGGGGGTACCTTGCTCAGTAGTATAGTAACTGTGAGAGGGACCTCGGAGTCCTAGTGCACAATCACCTAAATATGAACCAGCAGTGTGCTGCAGCTGCCAAAAAGGCCAACACGGTGCTAGGCTGCATTAACAGAGGGATAGAATCAAGATCACGTGAAGTATTAATACCACTCTACAATGCCTTGGTAAGGTCACACTTGGAATACTGCGTCCAGTTTTGGTCACCACGATGTAAAAAAGATGTTGAGACTCTAGAAAGAGTACAGAGAAGAGCAACAAAGATGATTAGGGGACTGGAGGCTAAAACATATAAGGAACAGTTGCTGGAATTGGGTATGTCTAGTTTAACAAAGAGAAGGACGAGGGGGGACATGATAGCAGTCTTCCAATATCTCAGGGGCTGCCACAAAGAAGAGGGAGTCAAGCTATTTTCCAAAGTGCCTGAAGGCAGGACAAGAAGCAACGGGTGGAAACTAATCAAGGAGAGAAGCAACCTAGAACTAAGGAGAAACTTCCTGACAGTTAGAACAATTAACCAGTGGAACAACCTGCTTCCAGAAGTGGTGAATGCACCAATACTGGAAGTTTTTAAGAAGAAACTGGACAGACATTTGTCCAAAATGGTACAGGGTTTCCTGCCTGAGCAGGGGGTTGGACTAGATGACCTCCAAGGTCCCTTCTAACTTTATCATTATTATTATTATTATATCTGCAAAATCTGCATTGTTAAAAACAATGCCCAAACAATACCCAAAGGGGCTTTAGATATAGTCATTTTCAGTTTCATACCCACTTTTCCATAATTCCTGTGTTCGGCAGCCTGCTTAACCATATTCAATATTCAGGTTTGTTCTGGTTTTAGAGCTGGGGGGGGGGGGAATGAACAGGTAATTTCTAATTATTTCAGTGAAAGTGAAAAAAGATTGTTCCAAACAAACATGCTGAGTAATACTATGGGTGGAACATTTTTACATCTCACAAGGCATGTTGTTTCAGGAATGTTGCAATGAGATTGAATGTAAATGTCTAGGAAAGCCAAAACCCTTACAGGATTATACTATCTCTGAATGCAGGTAGAGAATAGGTTCTCTGAAAGATGTGCCTATTGGTGAAATGAAGACAAAGCAGGGGCAGAATGAAAAAAAAAAAAGACAGTATTGTTCTACGAAATTCTATCCTAGTGTTAGACTTTTGTTATACACTGGAGACAAATTCCTTGCGTGTCCAATCACATTTGGCCAATAAAGAATATTCTGTTCTGTTCTGTTCTATTCAACGTAACATTGCATTGGAGGTATGGATTGCATCTAGAGTATATGAGATAAGATGCACATGGAAGATCCAAAGGACAATGTATAAACTCTAATAGGCAATTAGGTTATGAGAAAGATACTATGCAAAAAAAAAGAGAGAAAGGGATCACTTTTCTCATATGCTTTTCTTCACCTGGGTTGGAAAATACATTCTCTGATAAGATCTGAGCTATTGTTTCCTTCTATGTGAAAAGATAATCCAACAGGAAGAGCGATTTACTATATAATCCTTTGTGAGCATGCCAAGTCAGAACAAATCTGTGCAGACTGTGCCAGGTATCCTCTGTCTTTGTATTAGTTCTTTGAGTAGATATGGAAGTAATTCAGTATTAAGACTGAGAGAGAAGTAAGTAACAAAACTAAACTGCAAGTGAAACTGCCTTGGCCTGTGAATCTGAGTTTTGGATAAATTATGAATTTAAATGAAAAAAGGATTTCCATTCATATTCTTGCTCTCACCATCATTTCACCTCAAACAAAGACTTTTATAGACAAAATGAGAGTCATGCGTTTATCCTTGGGTGCATCTATAGCTTTCTTGCCTATATATATAAAATGCATCCCTTAGTTCATTTAACAACAATAAAAAAATCATTCATGGAGTTTTAAAAAAGCAGTCCTAAAAGTATATGCAAAAAAACCCCAAAACCATATATAACTTCATTAATCCTCATATCAGTCAGTTATTCAATTTTCCTTTGTCTTGTGACAGCAAAACTGGTTACAAGAAACAGAGTAATCAAACATCTCAGTTGTTAATTTCATATTTAAATTTTGATATCTTTGTACCATGGTCTCATTTAGTTTGATATTTTCACTAGTGCAGAAATATCATGATTATATGCCTTAATTTATAGATTAATGCCATCACTCAATAACCAATACCACACAATGAAACTGTTATTAAAATCAGAAAATTAATTTATATTGAAATTTTAAAGACTTATTCTTTGATAGTAATTAGTTAATCAGAGGAAGATGTCACAACATAAGGAACAGAGTTGTGGTCTAGTTCAGCAGCCCCCAACCTTTTGGGCACCAGGGACTGGTTCCATGGAGAGAGGTTTTTCCATGGACAGGATGGGGATGCCTGCATCCCGTGGATGGGGCTTTGCTTGTTTGTGCAGCCCGCTTTCTGGCATGCAGTGGCCCGGTGCCGATCCATGGACTGGGGTTGGGGACCTCTAGTCTAGTTCTCATATATTACAACAACAGGTAAAGCTATGGTGCAACCAAAATTACCAAAATTACAATGTACAGCTTAAACTTAGTCATTCAGAGAATCAATTCTCATTCTCTAAATGAGAAGTAAGGGACTCATGACTAAGATCTTGGAAGTTTTCATTATTTCAATGATAATGATGATTATGATACTCTCAAAGAGCATTAGATCATTTTCTGATCTAAACAGTTCATCCCAAATGTACCTGGTTTCTTTTTCCAATATACCCTACACAGTACAAGCTAGTATGAAGATATTCTTGGATTTCAGTTAGAAAATGGAAAGTAGTGAAAAGTTAGAATATTTTTTACAAAAACATCACTCTTTCCTGATCTACAAATTGGGTTTCCAATCAATGGAAATACAGGTAGTTACAATGGTCCAGTTAGTGACTGTTCAAAGTTAAGTGGTACAGAAAAGAGTGACTTATGACCATTTTTTACACTTATGACCTCTGCAACATCCCCATGATCAAATGATCAAAATTCAGACGCTCGGCAACTGACTCATAGTTATGACAGCTGCAGTGTCCCAGAGTCACGTGATCATCTTTTTTGTCCCTCTGACAAGCAGCGTCAATGGGGAAGCCAGATTCACTTAACAACTGTCTTACTAACTTAAACAACTGCAGCGATTCACTTAACAACTGTTGTGAGAAAGGTCATGAAATGGGGCAAAACTCACTTAACAGTTGTCTCGCTGGGCAACAGAAATGTCGGGCTCAATTGTGGTGGTAAGTCAAGGACTACCTGTATATGTTAGAAAGTTCCCAACAACAAATATTCTGTATTTATCTTTAGGGTTTGTGTGAATGCAACAAATGTGGGTTGAGCTATTTCTGAGGCACAGGGAGTCATATGCAGTCAAATAAACTCTTGAGAATGACTTATGGTCAGCCAGGTTAAGTTAGCTGTGAATTTCTGTTAACTGGCTGTTATAATAGAGGTCTTAAAACGAACATAGTGAGATTTTTTTCTATTAAAAATGGAATTTGAAGCAATAGGGCATTTAATTTCCTAAACTGCAGTATCATAGATACCCCCAGTGATCCTGCTCTCTGCTTCTCCATTCTTAAGTATTAAAACACAACGTTTGTTTGGTTACATTACTTTGTTTTATATGTCTCAGAAATTTAGTATCAGATCACAGGAACTTTGAAAGGAAAAAAATTGGCCTCGAAAACGCCCCAAGATTGTTTCCGTATTCCACTTCTCTACCCAGAGTGAATACATTTGTCGGTACAGAGCATGCAGTTCAACCACCAAGACACATGAAGGTTGTATGTAAAAATGGGCAGAATCCACTATGAAGCACAGAGTTGGGAAGTGAAAGTCTCTAGCACACATCCCAAACTTCATGACTATGGCTAAATGTCCCACAGCACACACTTTTTAACACACATCTTTTTTCCAAGAGTAGCATCATCACAGGAGAGGTGAAGAATTAGTTACCTTGTTTCTGGTTGATGTCGGCTGGCAGGTGTGGTGAGTGGGAGCCATGGCTGAAATGTTCATTGGTATATGGGATGAGTGGAGTGAGTGGATGGACCCCATGAGATGGCTGTACTACGGGAACCTTGTTAGACTGAAAAACAGAAGTCAGAAGAGAGAGGATTTAGAAATGCTAGCCTTTGCACCCTGTAAATTGAGGATGCAAGGGAAAAGAACCCAAGTCAGAAGTATCCTAAAATTTCTCTCTTCACCCCTAAATTACTAATCATCAGTTACAATACAACAACTTGCTTAGTAGATAACAAGAAGCTTTGGAGATGAATATGCAAACACTAATACTTCAACAGAGGTATGGTAGGGAACAATTATTCCAGTCTGACTCTGTCTTTATTAGTGAAATGAAAATGAATTAGAACAGGTTTGCCAAATGTAAGATTTACTTTAGTAATTACCATGCTTAGTAATTAACTGCCTAAACAGAGCTCTTGTTGTGCGAACTGCTTTTGCCAGCATCCCTCAAGATGATTTTTTTGCCACAGTCTTCTCATGTGAAGTGCTTACCTCCATTAGCCTGCCAAAATTAGCAAGTCAATTTATTTTGTATACACTTTTTACATCAATTTTTTTGCTAGACATTTACCTATACCAATGGGAATCAAGAAGCATTCCTGCTTTATTGGATACCAAGCATCTCATCAAATCTTGAAACTTTTAGAAGTTTTGCACAAGTTAGGATGGCTTTAAAGGAACTTTTCAAACTAATACCTTTTAGAGTTGGAGAATGGGAGTTCCTTTACATCAGGGGTCTTCAAACTTGGCCCTTTTATGACTTGTGAACTTCAACTCCCAGAATTCCTGATGGTTGAGGAATTCTGGGAGTTGAAATCCACAAGTCATAAAAAGGCCAAGTTTGAAGACCCCAGCAATATATGTTGCCGAATTATAGTCTTCAGCATTTCCCAACATAACATTCTGGGAATTATTGTTCAGCAGTGATAATTCAGCAACGTCTACAGAACTATTGCTTTAAAAGATTGTGACTATGGGAATAAAACCATTATGTGAAAATCATGCTCCTCTATACTGTACAGTGTTGATACCAAGGGAATACCCAGGAAACTGCATACTGTAAACTTTATATGTACTATATACTGTATATGTACTCACAAAATGCCTATACCTGAAGTAGATCAGAGCAGGCCTGGAGAAAAGCAGTTTTCAATGTACTGCTGAAAAGTACCATGAACAGTTGTGAATCTGCATGCTTGCAGAAACACATTCTTTGTGCTGGATAACCTTGTGTTATCCAACAATGTTTTGCCATCCAAATTAGTGTGTGAGGAATAGCACAGAGCATCTGAGCTAGATGCATTGAGTTCTACTGAGAGATTTTTCAGCTGTGCAATAAGTGTACTCTCATGTGAAGTTACTCTACAACAGTGAACTGTCTTTTAAAGGACTGATAATGCAACAGAGTGATCTTTTGTACTGCACAGGATCTGCAGGCTTTAAAGAAATGCATCAAAATGCATCTTCCTTATCGTGTTAAAGGGGGACAAGGAAATATATGCCCACATTTACCAGGCTATTATGTTGCAGTTATTTTTTTCAGTTGAAAAGAAAGAATTGGGTGAAAAGTTTAGGTTGAAAATTATCAACGTTTTCCAGCTGCAGCAAATTCAGAGGAACTTGTTTTCAGATGAAAAATAGTAGTTGTGTTATTAGAGAAATGCATACAAGAATCTTCCTGCCTGCCTCAAGCATTCTTACCATTTCATACTTGCCCAGTTTCGCCCATGGTTGCCTTTATAATGACATTGACAGTACCAACGCTGGAAAAATTGAGGTTTGTCATTCCGAAAAGCCCGCAGAAAAGTATGTGGTGGGGAACAATAGGACTATCAAATACAGGATATTCACTGATTATTGAAAATGGAGTCTTGTAAACTGCCACATTCCTTATATGAGCCCAACAGAGAAAACTACTACCAAACAAGAGTAAACAAGCAAACCACCACATCTATGTTTGATACTGTCACAACTGGCATTTTATACATATACATTGAATACATTCAAGGCAATTAATATACTGGAGAAATAATGAACTCAGCTTGTACAAGCAAGGGGGAAAAAATAGACATGGCGACAAAGTTCCAGTTCTCAAATTAAGTTGGGTGGAGCCCAGAGGACAAGAATATATTTTGATCACTCAGGGTATATCATTACTGCGTAATCAACAAGTAAGACCATCTGAACAAGGGGTCACGAATCAAAACATGGAGCGAATGAGCCATATTAAAATATATAGCTATTCATTAGTTCCATATACACAGGAACTAAGTGATTTGCAGATCTATACGTGCAGCAGGTAATTAGAACAAGTCAATCAAGCCACATACTATTAGGTTAAAAAAAAGGCGCTGTATACAGGAAACACAAATCTCTGTACAAATAAATTGCCCAGTTATTAACTTTAACTCATTATTGACTTATCCCTGATGTCCCTCATATATGAAAATATATGAAAACCATAGTAGAAATTGTGAAAGCAAATTCAAAAGAATATGAACATCTCTGCATATACCTAGAAATGGAATGGGACAATTTGCCGCAGCCAACCTGCCACGGCCAATTCACTGCGGCCAACTCATCATGGCCAACCAATTCACTGCAGGACAATTCAGCCTGGCCAACTCACCAAGGGACAACTCACTGCGAGACAATTCAACAATTCAATTGAATAATTCAAAATAATTTTAAAAATTGTTTAATTTTTTGTCATTCATATTTCATTTTGTCCCTCCTTTGGCATCCTTTCTTTAATGATTCTATTCCGCTATTTCTGTGATATTACTGTAACTCTTGTCCCTTGGCGAGTTGTCCCACAGTGAGTTGGCCATGGCGAGTTGGCTGCAGCAAGTTTTTTGTGGTGAGTTGGCCATGGCAAGTTGATATGGAACAGACTTATACACACTTTAACACTTGCATTGCAGGGAAGATTAAGAACTCACCCCACTGCAAGTGAGGATGGTTCATTATCAATTGCTTGTCATCTTGGTGTCAACACTAGCACCAAGACATATTACTATTTTGTTGATGAGTATGATGTCAATGATACTATTGTAGATTCATTGTACATGTTGTAAACAGTATAATGTATTATGGTAAATTCAATTACCATAAATCTTATGGAAGTATAAACTGAAACATTACGTAGCATCCATATTTTCATTGGACATTATATTTTCCTGAGATTTTTCATGGGAAAAAATGAATAAATTCCAATATAAAGACTATAAAATACAAAATAAATTGAAACAGAATAAAGAAAATAAATCTTTTCTAATACCATAACTCTGAGATCTAGTTTGGAGCAGTGGTTAAAGGCACTGGGTTAGAACTAGGAGACTGGATTTTAAACTCAGAGACTGCGAGTTGCTCTCTACCTAGAGGGGAAGGTGTTGAAATGAGCCAAAAGAAAGACTCTACAGTGCACTGAGCAAGCAAAACTGAGTAAGTAGTTGAATATTGAAACCCGCCACTGAAAGTTAGCTTAGAGTACCCATGCAAGATCAAAGATTCTTTGATACATTTTGGATTTAGCTCTCTCTATTCTGAGGTGCAGCAGAATAGATAGAAAGGCTGCAGGGACACAGCTCAGGTGAGATTTTTATTTTCCACCTTGATGAAAGTTCATGAAGAGCACAAATGAACCATAGGGACACAGAAGCTGAAGCCAATAAGAGAAGGGCCAAGGTTCTGATGCAAGTGGAATCATACTGTTTTCTATGCAGATTAAAACATTTTAAATGTAGCACGATAAGCAAAAAAATACTTGCAGAGACCTAGACTGGGCAATGTCCAGTTTGCACCAGTTCAGCAGAACCGGTAGCTTTGTTGCCCAGGCCCAGGATGGATTTCCAGAAGTGGCATCCACACAGAGAACCGGTTGTTGACATATTTGAATCCCACCACTAGTCTAAGGACTTGGAATTATTGTAGTCACATTTCTATGCATCACACAAATTTTGGATTTAGTTTTAAAAGCTTGGTGGGAACAGGTACCTGTCCTTTAGAAAAAACAAACAAAAAAGCACCAGTCCTAGGATTGCCATAATGTTAATGCTAGTTTTGGCACAACTGGGTTTAATTTATTTCTGCTCAACTCTGAAGGTTTGAAAAACAAAGCTAAGATATTTAAAAACTAGAACTTGTTTAATTTCAGTTTTTCCAGCTTGCAGTTGAATTTAACGATCTTTGTAGCAATTAGCTCCCCCTCATATTAATATAGATATATAACATTTTGATCCTACATCTTGATCGTAAGGTTTTTCTCCCTGCAGAATTCCACTGGTTCATAGACCTCTACTGAGGCCAACCTGTATAAGCAAAATGATTAATGTTTTTGTAGATCCAAGGAGCTGTAAGGTTCAGTTTCAGCCTCAAACCACAAGACTTTACAGGGTTTTTAAAAATTTAATATGACAACCAGGCTCCTATCTTTGTTTTTTTTACTAATTAAATTCCCTTATTAAGTCTACAAACTTACTGACTGTGGCCCTAATATAGCATCATAGCATCTGCTGCTGCCAACTTCATAATGCCTAGAGGTCTGAGGTCCTACCTTCCATCAAATTAACAATGGAAAGCAGTCTTATTTTCATCCAGAGGCAAGAAGTGAAGTAGAGAAGCCAGCTAAAGGAGCCAACTCAATTCAATGAGATTTAAATAGTGAACTCCATAGTGTTGCAGTCTGGAGAATAAATCGTGAAGCACAGAAAGACAGGCATAACTTTATTAAGACAAGAGATTTCCTACATCATTTTAAATCTGCTTGTATCATAAAATACCCTTGTGAAATTTAATTAGTAGGATTTAAATTCCACTTCCTATGAATTAATATATAAATTTGGAGTAGCTAAAGAGGTTTTATCTGACTATTCTTGCATCTGATAAATGAAGCATTTGCTGCCTCTTCTCCTTACAGACAGTTGTCATATTAGATACGTTGAAATATACCTTTCCTGAATATGGGAAAGTGTACACTCCCTAAGCAACAAGTATAACTCAAGCATTATTTCATTGTTTCCAAACCTTGGGTGTTCCATATGTAATGGACTCTATCTTGTTCAA